AATGATAAACCATAAAGGAACAAGGATGGCTGAGGATGGAGAAGATTAACACGGATTACAAACGACGAATTTGAAAACTTGAGGCTAAACTTTTTAATATGCGCAAACCGTGACTGAGCTCCTTCAAAATTCTCATACAAAACCTTGTTATCACTAGGTCAACCAACGTGCGATTGGCGGCCTGTGTTATGAGTTTCTGGTTCACCATATCTTACCTCTTCCGGCCATTGTTCGCAGAAGTCTTGCGGCAGTCTGCCCTGCCTGAGGTCCTTGATGTTTTTCACTCGCTCCATTTCAGTACCAAATGGACAGAACAGCTCAAACAAAATGATTCCTAAACTGTAGATGTCAGCCTGCATTCCGGTAAAAGATAAAACAAAATAAAAAACAAGAGAAGCAGAAAACAGAAAGATTGACGCAACGAGCAGTTAAACGCGTCTGAAAACCACCAAAATAGTATTCACTATTTTCTTTTCCCGCGTGTGAACAAAACTAGATAGCAAATATATTAGAGAAATCTGTTTGACATTGACCGTGGTAAACTAAAACCACAGAGTAAATACGATAAATCAATCAAAAAGTAAGAGTCGCCGATAGCGAACCCGGGAAAACGTGTGGCGGGAAAACAAGTAATCAGACGAGCAACAAGCGCGGGAAACACAAAACTGAAAAAGTGCACGAGACGACATGAAGCCAATAGCAAGCGCTATGATTCAGTCCCTCTACCCTACCTTGTTGTCGTATATATTGTTCCTTAGTTGTTCGGGTGAAGCATATGTACATGTTCCTACTCCTGCAGTCGGTGCGTCCTTGCCGGAAAATCCTGTTAAAAATAACAGAAATTAAACTTTAATGCCAACTTAAATGACCGCGTATATGTAAAAGTAAGTTCGCTAGTTGGGAACTTTCATACCTGGAGGAAAGAGGGGCGTGAGCGGTTCAATTAAACTGGCCAGCGGACTGGAAGCCCCGGGACTCACGACCACTTCTTTCCGAGCCAAACCAAAGTCGCCGATTTTGACCTGGAAACTAGTTGGTCGTTCTTCTTTGTGGTGCCGGAGCCCGTGAAGAAAGATGTTCCTTGGCTAAAAGGAAACACAACAATGAAACCGTCAATTAAACTGGACCGTGCACGATAACAACAGCACTCCGTGTATCTGATGTCACGCATGGTTTCGAAAACCTAACAATTATACAGCCCTTTACGCAGATCACAATTAGCCCGTCACGAAATCTCTTCTCCTTAGAACTCGTGACAAGCCTAGGACTCGTTAGGAGAAAAAGACAGCGTGAGAAACCCAAAGAACATGTCCTTAAAAGATAGAGAAACTTGCTAAAATGATAGTTGTTTGGTTTTTCTGAGGCCATCCCTGTAGGCTTGATCTCGTCCGGGGAGGGTGGCGGTGAGAACTAAAGATGGGAAAGAAGCTGTGATTCAAAATATCAACTACAAAAGCAACCCAAGTCAGACTACGAATAATTCTTATTTTCCGCATAAAATAGAATTTACAAACAATAGTGAGAGACTGCAAAAGAGAAAACAAGATTGCTTGGCCAAGAAATGTGAGAAGCCATTAATAGTAAAAGAAATCAATCATTAAACATTATAATTTCGCGCTGACATCTTTACCTTCAGATCACGATGAAGAAGCGCCTGGGAGTGAATATACCTCACTCCCTCCACAACCTGGCGAAAAATGTCCACAATGGCCGCTTTATCGACTTGGCTGTCTAATAAAGGAGAAAAGAAAGTACGCGTAAATCAAAGTGCTCTATGAGCAAACCCGTCGATTTCCCAGTGGATGATGATTGACACGTGTGACTTAATCTAACTCGGGTCCACTAGATTGGAACGTGGGAGCTAACCATAGTAACACGTAAGAAACCTTGCTTCAAGGGGCAAAAATACAACTACTTCAGTCTTATCTCAAATTGGCTAGCAAATATGCGAATTAGCTAACAGATATGCGACATATAGTCTCTTAAATCTACCATAAATAGACATATAAAGCTTTTCGCGAGAGCTGTTTTGTGACTTTGGGATATGATAGCTCATCAGCATATTCAAGTGTCAAAGTGTATCAGCTTGAACAAGCCCAAAACTTTTTGTCTGTGGGCAAAATTTTAACACTCGGATTGCATTTCAGTTCGTGAAGTTCTATCTAGTTCTCCTCGCTCCCGCTATGCGGGATTCGTCTTCCAATGTGAGTTATGTGAGTTTGTCCTCAAGACCAAGCGGGATTTTCTCGCGGTGGATTCCACGCCCGCGGTTGAAACTTATAATCTGGCGTAATCCTGAGCGTTTTAGAGGCTTGCAAGAACGTCGTGTTCTTTATTAGAGACTTTTTCGACAAATGCTACGGCGACCTCAATGAAACTGTTCGCTATGATTTCCGAAATGTAATTTCAAGAGCTCAGTCTTCCAGTAGTAGTACCATGGATATGTAGAGAGGATTGTCTCCTGTCAATCTTTACTAAACTTCAAACTTCGGAGCAAAAAATTTACAATAGAAGCTTCCAGCAACTTCACCTCTGTCATCTAAAACTTTCCCAATGCAACACTTGTTACGCTCAAGGAACATACCCCACCTCTTTAAGCTGAAAACTTTACGTAATTATGTAAAACTGCTCTAAAACACAGCTTAATCAGAAACATCAGGTTTTTTGGTTATCAAATCCTTTCTTTAGTTGCTTTTGGTCGAAATCTCTGTTCTTAATTTTGCCCCCTATAGAGGGCAACAAGGTTTTTAACTTCGTCAAGTAATGACAGTTTCTTAACAACAGAGTGAATTTATTGAAGAAACCACGAAGACAAGTTCTTCTTCTGCGAGGCATTCAATAAAGGGACGTAAGCTAGGCTGGTGTTGGCTTTACACAAACCCTCGTTGACGTACCCGAACAGTGTCCGACTGTTATTGCCCAATCAGAAAACAGCATGAACCATTCTAGAGTTACAAAACTCCCGCCCAACCGAAAAGCTTGGTGTGAAGGACTACAACAGAGAAACTTCCCTGTCTGCCAGACCAGCATGGTTCGCTAGGCACTTACCAGGCACGGTGATGTTCTCATTACGCTTCACAAGCCAGTCTCGGAGTGTCGTGGTACATAACTGCATCTGAATGAACAACACCATTCCCAAACGCTACAAAAAAGAGCAAATGCAAGTTATTAACTTGTATTCTCTACTTGTTAAAATTGATTGTTAGATTTTTGTTGCAGAATTTCTAGTTATAGTTTTATAGATATTATTTTAGTTTTAGTGTGCACGACCCCATAAGCTTCTTAGCTTTAATTCTTATCGTTTTAACATCTATCCAGTGGTGGATCCAGACCTTGAACTACGGGGGAGGGCACGGTTTTGTTTTGCTTGCCCTGTCGGCTTTTCTTCCCTCTGTGATTTCTTCTTTTTTTACCCAAAATAAGGGGGGACTGCTATCTATTATCTATCATCTATCTAACACTTTGTGTGGCTGTATGATAGCGTTCTTCTGTCAGTTAACAAGACTATGAGAATTAAGAACTTGCATTTTGTATGATAATTTCAGGAAAAAAGAGAAACTGCAGATGAGCAAAAAGTAAAGGTTTTGACGCGACCAAATGAAAGTACTGTACAGATCTGTTCAGTACTTTTATTTCAATGGTTACACAGGCTTAAAATTCGGAACCACCGTCTTGTATGTAGAATAACAAATACTGTAGTACCTCATGAAAGTACCTTGTTCTACAGCTTTCCTTTGAATGATTACAAATTAGGGTTTCACTCACAGAGTCAAAAGTCAAAAAGAAGTTGTAACAGATAAAATAAAGTTTCGATACAACACGAGCTCGGATTGGTTGAAAAAGCGTGCTTTATCAGAGTACAGACGCACGACAAGCTACGGTATCACATGTATTATACACGTAGCAATAGAGTTCATAGACAGACTGAAACGTCATGTTGCTAATGGTACCACACGATGTTACAGCTCAATAGCTTTCATTTGAATGGTCACACTTCAGGGTTTCATCCACAGACTTAAAATTGCACAGGATAATAGATTGACCACATGAAACTAGAGCTCAATAGCTTAGATGGTTGAACTCTAGGGTCTCTCTCCACCGCAGAGACTCAAAGCAGTTCTTTCAGGTGGGATAATCTGCTGAACGATATGATTGCAGGCGCCAGGGATACGTGAGGGCGCTCACTTTGCACAGCGGCTTTCTATAACGAACGTTTCGAACCTTTGCACAGGAGAGAGCACTAGAGTTTCTTACAAACACTCTGAATAGTTTGTAGCACATTGAGTGAGTTGAGGGTTGTCGCTGGAAGCAACAGTAAAAGCTAGAGGCATAAGAAAATTAAGGAACGGCTAACATCCCAATAGGAATCACCTTGTTGACTGCCTTTCTTCTCATGATGTTCTCTGTTAATACACTGCCGTGCTCGCTGCTCATTTCCCCGCTCAGTTCGTCATCAATATGGTCGCCATCTTTACCAGCCATGGAGCCTAGGCTAGTACTTGAGACAGATCGGCGCATGCTGCGCCGTGAAGCGTGATATGGGGCCCTGCTACTACGACTACTACTGGTACTGCTCCTGAGGTTGCTTGAAGGGATTTTACCTAGGCGACCCTCACCTGAAAAACGATAAAGAGCTGCGTTTAAGAAAATGGTGGTGTTTCAAATTGATTTTAACCCAGTAGTTGTAAAACGCGTCCTTAGTGAGACGTGGCTCATTTACGAAACAGATTTCCGAGTTGACACAATTCTGCCATAGCCAGGTCTAACTTTGACCCCTGACTTCGTTTGAAAATCAGACCTTCATATCTGGTTTTTGATTCGACAGTAAGCCATGTACATGTAATCATTCCTTTATGCTTTTCTGAAAGTGGAATGCAAGCTTTAGCGAATTGGCAGTATACTTTTTCTGGACCCGACAGTACTTGTCACTGGGTTTTAAAGTCTCATTCAAATTAAGAATTGCGGTGCGTTTTGATCGTGCACGCCTGGACTCGACTGCAAGCCTGTACCTTGTGCACCGCGCTGCTTTCCTTCCGCCTGGCTCCCAGTCCCCACTGACTCACAACTCGATCTACGAGCTGCGAACAGGATCCCACTGTTGGAGGGATCCTGGGACGAGCTTTCAAACACGATACTTTGACTGTCTTGACTCACTTCCATGATTCTGGAAAGAAGGAATGTGATTGGATGAGAACTATTTTAAGTCTCAGTAGTGAACATGATAATACCATTCTAACGACACATTTCCTCCATAGGCTCAATGTAAGAGAGATATCACATTATAACAGATTTCACTTCAAAACATAACAAAGACTTGAAGTTGAGCAGTGTATGAATTTCATGCCAAGCACTTTAAATCCAGACCAAAGTGATGACATGATTCACATACATGTATGACCACTCACAGCATACTGGCATATTGCAAGAATCCAATCAAAACTCAAGGCACAAAATGCAACTGGTGCCAGGAGTGGGAAATATGTTTGGGCTTCGTTTTGCTCCTTATTGGTTGAGAAAACAGCATGTTTGGTTTGCATTCAGCTAGTTCTAAGAGCATGTTGCCCAACAGACCTTTTTACCAATACAGCAGCCATTTTGATTTCTACTGATTTGAGAAACATTATAGGATGCTAAGGGGGCACATTAGTATGTATTTGCCCCCTATGCATCCCATAATATCTATTGGAAACAATGGATTTCAAAATGGCTGCTGTATCGGTAAAATGGTCTATTTGATTAGACTAAGGAGTGAAGTCAGCTCAACTCAGCTCCTGGTTAAGAAACATCACCAGTGAGGGAAAAGTTAAGAAATTATCTTTACATCAGACACATCTTGTCCACTTCCTGCTTGTTGTCATAATTAGACCTACTCATCGAATAAAGTAAGTATGTATTTATGCTTGCACTGTTCCTATTCCCATACAGTCAAGTTCTGCTTTTCTTTGGCAGTCTCAGGAGTTATACCTATGCATGCTTGGCAAGGGAAATCAAATCAACCTGATTTAATTAAATTGCTCCCAAAATGAATGGCTTTGCGAGAGAAAGATCAGATTACAGAGGAAAGATCAACTGCTTTTGGGAGTATTATGGAAAAGAATGCCTACTGCAGACATTCTTTTTGTATTTCTTACATGTACTAACCTGTGAATTCCATTTAAAGATGAGAAATCACTGAGCTCTTTGAGACTTGTAGGAACTGTAGCCACTCCTAGTGAAAAGAGCATTTCATTCAGTCAAGCTTTGAGATACAATGGAACACCATCTTATGACTAGCATATGACACCTTGATCATTATAACAACCACTTTTTTGGTCCGAAGAAAACACTCATTCAGAAACTACTGCCACTGTGGAGGTAGCATGTCCAAGTGGTTAGGGCACCGGACTTGAAATTCCGAGGTCATGGGTTCAAGTCCTGCTCTGACCACTAAGCTGGATTTGTTTCTCGGTAGCCTAATTCAGCTCCTCCGTCATGCTTGTAAATAGCCAACTGGGCTGCCTCCCACCATTTGGGATTTTTAAGGCTATTACGTTTATTTGAAATATTTCTTTCTTTCAGTTAAATGGCATGCCTGAGATCTATATGATGTACATTTAGTTAGTTGTAGTTTATGCACATCAACCACTATAAAACTTATAAACATTCAACATTTAACAACATTTTTTGTGGTACATTTTGCACAATCTGGACGGCTCAGTAAAGCAGTCAGAATTCTCCTTTCCATCTTGGACTGTCATAAATAACATATTTCCAACGTGAATATTATATTGTATGTTGCAACAATCTCCAGCTGATGTATACAAGCACAAGCAGATCACTTACTGGGCAAAGCAACACCAACAGTATCTGTTGTAACATATTCCAGCCATGCCGCATGATATCCGACCACATTACTGTGACTAAGGTTGGCCAACACTTTAACTTCACGTAGAACCTGTTGGAAGTTAACAAAGATGCATGTCTGTTTCATTTGGCAGCCAACGGATTGGCTTCATCATCAGCTGCTGTTTGTGAGAATGAGCACACATTCCTGCCTGAAACCCAGGGGGGGGGGGACCTCTCAGGGAAGAACAGGGTCCCTTGGCAAGGTACATGTAGCACTCTATGAAAAGTAGGAAAGGAAATCTTAAAACTCCTATAAAATCCCAGATGGATCTAGAGTTGTAGTACTTAATAATATTTTTGGTTCAAAGAAAGTTTGTTTGAGCAGCCTGATTTTGTCATCTTCGTCATAAAAATCTCTTTCTTGTTATATCCTAACTAAAAAAACAAACAAACAAGAGTTCAGAACATTGGTCCATGTTTGTAGCTACCAAGACACACATACACCTGTAACAATTCCAAGAAAATTCAAAAGAAACAATTCTGTGAGTAATTTCAAACAAACATAATCAACATCAATTTTCTTTTGCTGATAAACAATAAACCACAGATCAAGCAAATAGTGAAGCCTTGCATTGGGTGGGTTAACAGATAACAAAATAAATATAAATGTTTACAGATCACCATCTGGTTACATGGACACTGAAGCATACAGTACACAAACATGCTGGATAAAAGGGCATGCCAAAACAATAAGGGTTCGCATCTTTTCTTAGACTTTCTAAAAGTCCTTTCCAATTAATTCCTCCCTGGCTCGAGGGAGATAAATAGGTGAAGGATTACACTGTAGGAAGTCTTTGGCATGGTTCATGAACGGAAGAAATAGCTCGGATCATGGATATAAAAAATTTGTTTTCCCGAATCAAGAAAATAAGCAAGTAAGATACATGTACTCTGACTTTTTAATAACCTGCTCTTACACTAGAAAGAGTGTTTGAAGAAAGCAAAATCATCAAAGACTAAGTCAAGGCTCCATATTGCAAATCGCATAACCAAAGTCACTCTCGATAGACAACTCTAACCATTCAGATGACTCACGAATATCGGTTAATAATTCATTCAACTTCTTCACTAGTCATGCAAAACCTTCAGGTCACGGATCACGAAGAATGATCTCCTAAATTCACGTTTCACGGAAAATAAAATTAGCTAGCATGCACTACGAGAATACCTCTCTACGACCCGCAATGTACATGTAAATAAAGGTTGACTTGTGGAAAGTCTATCTTTACTCTTTACCTTTAAACAAAGATCAGGGTCTGTTTCCTTGAGAGGGACCTTTTTCACTGCATATTCTCTCCCATCTAGTTTGTTTTTCACCTAAAATAAAATTTAAATAAAATATTTTTTCATGATTACCAAATTTGATGACTGCAGATGTAACTGAGAGATTGAATATATTTTACTGTGAAGTTTCTAATCAGTTAGTTTCACATCTTAACTTTAATTTACAATAAGTTTACACTTAGGTATCTCACCAAGGTCTGGCCTTTCTGTTAAGTACTGTACATGTACATAACATGGCCCTGCCTCTGTTTAGGAGGCAGGAGGTAACATGACTCAGAGGTTAGGGTGCTTGACTTGAAATTTGGAGGTCTCAAACTTAAGTCCCATAGCTCAGTTCTGGCCCATAGCTGGTCAGGAGTTGTTTCATGGTATGCATGTACCTGTCCTGAATTCAACATCTTGGCCAGCTTATAAACAGGCAACTGGTTGGCCTACTGTATGACTAGCTGGGGATTTTAACCTTGTTATATTAATCTGAATATTATTTGATTGCTCAGCCACACTACCTTTGTGCTATAAATACTGAACAAGGCTATAACTTTCAAGGTCACATGTATGTCCATGTACAGTATTTATTCATTTATTTTGATCTGTCATAGATAAATCCCTTTGTATCATCTTAGTCTGTCTTGTTGATTCATGTGTTTTCTCTAACTATAACTTAACTAACAACAAAACATTCAACATAAACATGTCCATGCACAAGACATATTTTCCTGTTTTCCTGTTTTCCTATTCTCCTAATAACTTCAAGGCAGGCAACAAACCTTGAAAACACTACCAAATCCACCTTTACCAAGTCTTATGATCTCAACAAACTCCTCTTTGTATCGTGAAGTTCCATTTTGCAGCAGATCATGCATCTTTTGAGGAGCAGATAAGCTCCTGCAAAAGGAAAGAGATAAATACGTGAAACAATCTAATTACTGTATTTAAATAATAAATGAATAGATTAAATTGGAATTAGAAAACAGTCCTAAGAAAATATGCACGTTGATTGGTTAAAAATTGTGTTTCTATAACTCAATAGATACACTGAAGTAGCATGAGCTGTTTTGTACATGTAATGATGGCGCGAGCAAAGACAATTTACATTTTGATAATCAATGTTAACAAGTTGTTTTCCTTTTCTTTGTCGCAGTGTTTTCTAAAGAAATTGAAAAATTAACACGCTCTCCGTGTTTCTGTCAAGTTATAGAGACACCCGTGAAAGTTTGGGAGAACTCGAAAAAGCTGCGGAAACACTCACCTGCAGCTCATGTTCCCACAGCATTTCTCGTTCTCCCAAACTTCCACTCGTGTTTCTATAACTTGATAGAAACACGGTACATGTTTTCTATTTCTTAATTATTCACTAGAAGATCTTGGGACTTTGCAATAATAGTTATTGTGCACTCATGAGTGTCTACTGGCATGAGGCTAAAAAACCTCACAATAATGTCTGTTGCAGAATTTTTCCTAAAATCTAAACTCTGCTTGAGCAGCAGGTACATGTAGTAGCAGCACTATTAACACCACCAACACATGAGAAGTTACATATACCTCTACTACATTACTATATCATGAAATCCCTAGTACCGCTGCAATGTACCAGCACTACAACTGCCACCGCCACCATCACCACAGCTACTGTCACCTCTACAACACACAGACACTACTGCAGATTGCTGCCAAAAACAACGCCACCGCCAGTACCTTACTGTCAACAACATCATCTCTAAGTTTAGTAGCACAGCAACACCACATAATATTTACCACTGCTGCTGCTGTAATCATTGACACTGTGATGCTACAGGTATCATCACGATTGCAAACTGTGATTCTTTCCTACTGAAAATAGGATTATACGTTCTAATTGAAGTTTTATTTAATAATAGAAAACAAAACTCTTTTGGCTTACCTATAGCTATGAAATGGGCCTAATGGTGGCTTCCTCAGACCAGGAATCTTTACAAGCTGAAAATTCAAGTTAACAGGAAAATTACTATGTCCATGTACATTGGACTTTAATAGTTTGTACACTGTAAATGCCATCAACCTCGGAGTTTGCAATTTCCTCACCTCTCTGGCCTACATGTAGAATGATTTATTTAAAGTCTCAGCGAATCATACATGTCACTGTGCATGTTAAAAAACATAAAGAGGGATTGCCCTACATGCCTACAGTGTTTAATTTCTATTTGTTTCAACATAAAATCTATAAGTCAGGAGTGAAAAACTTGCAAAAATGGCCTGTGGCTATCACACTCAAGATATAAGCAAAGTTTTTTTTAACACAGATGCTCTGCCAGCAATTAAGATACAATGTATATGTCTTACATCTGTTCCAGTGGTCCTTGCAGCAGCTTGCATAAGATCACTAAATGCTGTCTTGTACTTAGCTCTGATGACGCTGAATTCCTCGAGAAATGAAAAGGATGGCATCACCTGAGGAAAGATAGGAAATTCTTTCAATCAGAGCCAAGTCTATGTATGCAGAACCTTGTAAAGTCATGTGATTGCCTTAGAAAGATTTCACCAGTACATCATTGGTGCTGGTGAAGGTTTGGCTTCTTAGTTTAGAATATTGCAATGTACATTATTGACAACATTAATTCGTAATTTAGTTCATTTTTTAATTTTTTTTTTAAAGCAATAAGCAACTCCATGAATATAAACATGACATGTACATATGTACGTACCTTCATCTTTACAAGCTGTTGACAAAGAACTGTAAAAAAGAGAGCGACAATTTACTTGCAGTTAAACAACATGTCTCTCATCAGTTATAAACGTACCATAAGCAAATGCCTAAAACAGAGCTTTGCATCCAGACTATTCATTGTTTTGAAACCAATCAATTGCACAAATTGTTCTGTGACTGATAGAGAAAACATCTCTGTCAGTGGTTTTTGGGGTCTTGACATCTCACTATGATTGGTTGCAATACAGTACACTGTTCAAGGGAACATTCCAGATCTAATTTAGGTGTTTGTGCACTATTTTAATTGAAGAGGTGAGTGCAAAACCATGCTAAGTGACGATTTGGGTGAAAAAAAAAATTTCGCGAAAGGGCTTGAATTTTTGCATGTGTTCATCAATGTAATAGAAAAACATGGTCCTGTATTTTTCTCGCTGGTTTTTTCTTCATTTATAAAGACGCCTCTAGGAAAACTGAGTGGTTTTTTTGCATATGCAATATCTTGGAAATGAAGCGAAGCTTAGCAGAAAAACTACGGGACATTGCTAAACATACCTAAACAAAACTGCATGCGAAATTTGGAGCGTTTTTGACAAAGTTAACTTTTGATTAAAATGCCTAACGCCGTTTTCCCGCCAAGGCCTTCAAATAAACGAAGCCGGGCCTTTGTTACGATAAACAGAACCAATCCTTTGTTATAATAACCACGCGAAGCTTTTGTCATAAGTCGAAGTCTCGCCTAGGTTTATCATAACAAAGGATCGGCCCGCTGGGACCACAAGGACTTTGATTTCACTTAGAAAGCAGCAAAATGTCAATTTCACGTAATGCATAAGCTCAGTGATGCTGATTTCAGGTCTAAATAGGTTAAAATGTTGATTTCACGTTAATGCATGATGGCAAGGATGTTGGTTTCACTTAGAAACCAGCAAAATGTCAATTTCACACAACATATAAGCTCAATGATGTTGATTTCAGGTCTAAATAGATTAAAATGTTGATTTCACGTTAACGCGTGACGGCAAAGATGTTGCTTTCACATAGAAACCAGCAAAATGTCAATTTCATGCAGCGCATAAGCTCAATGACGTTGATTTCAGGTCTAAATAGGTTAAAATGTTGATTTCACGTGAACACTTGACGGCAAGGATGTTAGTTTCACTTAGAAAACAGCAAAATGGTAATTTCATGCAACGTATAAGCTCAGTGATGTTGATTTCACGTGAAAACGCTCTATAAATAGGGCTGACGGATTAACAGATTAACCCTTCTGCGCAACGCACAGGCCTCCATACATCTGCATGTTCGCCGATCCCAGAAGCTCAAAACACTACAAATCATGCCGATTTGAAATAAAATCAATGCAACCTGGATCACAGATCTATGTTACAATCGATCGCTACTTGTTGGCCATCATTATGTTTAAACAATCTAGTTACCAGTTTGAGAACATCCGCAGAACGTGATCGCAATGCATGCCAGGAAGGGTCTTTACACCTCGTGTGCGGGAAACATGGCGGTCGATACAAGACAAATTTTATAAGTCTAAAACCAGTTCTCGCTTTCCAAACTTTGACGCTAGCAACGCTTGGCAATT